ACAATCTTTCAGTCACCAGTCTTTCAACTACCTGACTGTCCTCGTCTGACTTGTTAATCTCATTCTCAGCTTTCTGGTCATGCCATTGCACCAAAAGCTCGTCTGTGATGCATGGATGCAGTTTATCAACGTGTCTCATGCACTTTCATGTGCCTTTTATCTACTATAACTCATCCATTACTAGACCAAGTTTAACCAGCCTTGGTGCCAGTCCTCTTCCAAACCTTAAGCTCAGCCCAGTGAATTGCTTCATTCTCCATTGGGTCAAATTGCAGTGTAGCTTATTGGTGACTGTTTTCTTATAGTTTTTTTTTTGCTGTTCCTCTTTCAGATATTCTATAGCATCCAAGACAGAAACGTCGAATCTCAAAACTAGGCATTTGATAGTCTGTTCCTGAGTCCATCCATTTTCAGGTGATATGCTTTATGAAACAGACAAAATCCTCTTTTGCTATTCCCTTAAACATTAGGGCAAAATTTGCTTGGTTTTGTTCAGAATGATCTGTGGTGTTGACTGTTGGCTAAGACCTCTACCTTGTGGACTCTTGGCCAATGCCTGGCTGAGATGCCACTGATGCTGTTGGTGCAAGGTGATAGCCATATTAGGGACCACAATACTTAGATGAGTGATTACTCCATTGTCCAGGCTGGAGGGGCAATAAGTTATTTATGGCAGCTCATTGTACAGCCCTGATAAACTCAAGGTACTATTGTGAGCCATGATCAACATTGCCCACTACATTCTAGCTCAGAGAGGGTCATCACACCATGGTTCATGGTCGTCATTCTCTGCCTCTCCTTCAAGGGAAACCATGTTACTGACAGAAGTCATCCATCAGCAACAGACCTTCTCAGTTGGTCATCCGTGGTCTGGACTAAAACTGGATCTATGATGCTTTGGCCTCTGACACTCTGATACTCCTGTAGATATGTCATCAACTGGTTTCAGATTTCATTCATCAGTGTTTCTCTTATATCAAGATCACTTTTCGGGAGCAAGATTTGAAACATCAAATGTCATAGACCTTCTTCTCATAAATAAAATTTCAATGTCTGGGAAAGAACTTCTCCTAGAATTGACATCTCTCTTATACAACTGTCTTTCTCTAATGGTAAACAATTCCTCCTGATTGTGTGTATCTTAACTTTGATAATAAGACGTTATTTCAAACTAGAAGTTTTCTTTTAAACTCGTTTTAATTTAAGAGATCAAGTCAGAACCAATAGTCACATATAACAAAAACAGAAAATTCCACACTAAACCCTGTGGTCAAAATATCAAAATTTCTCTTTATCTACTTGTGGTATTATCAGCTAAACTGATTTCTGTGCAAATAATAAATCAGTCCACTTAATAACAGCAGGGTCAGACAAGAAATTTATGGAGTTATTGTGTTTAAAAGTTTTATTAAATTTGAAACTTATATTAGAAAATAAGGAGATTTGACACATTAGATAAAAAGATTAACACAATCTATATTTGCAAACTAACACAAAATACAGTGTGCATACTTATGTAGACCTTTACATGATCACTTCTACCAAGTAAGCATACAGCTTTCTTTCTTTATAGAACTATATTCAAACAGGAACCAGGTAGACGCTCTATTCATTCAAGAAGGCTCATATCTTTTCTCTTGTGATGACATCACTACATAGCTCGTCATTTTCTCGTACAAGTAGTACAAGCATCCAACTTAGTGAGACTATGCTGTAGAAAAGAATGGAGAACTACAAAATTTCTCCTTTGCCAACAGATAGTAATGCCATCAGTATATATGCCAGAAGAGTCAGTATGTATCAAGGAACAGTCAAGGCACTTGGTTTTTAAATTTCACACAAAACTACTCGAGGGATATCTGCACTAGCTGTCTGTAATTTAGCAGTTATAGACTAGAAGGAAGGCAGCTAGTCAACACCACCCATTATCAACTCTGGGGATATTTTTTTACTAACGAATAGTGAGATTGGTTGTCACATTATAACATCCACATGGCTGAATGGGCGAGCATGTTGATGATGGAGATTCGAACCCAGGACTTCCAGATTGCGAGTTGAACACCCTAACCACCATGTCTAGCAGTGGGGTAGGAACTTTCTTTGCCAGTGGCAGGATTTTCAATGAATCTAAACTTTTCAGATAACACTTACACATGAAGATTTTCTTACTGAGTAATTATCTAGTATACTCGTGTAAAAATCGACCTAGTTTTTCCGGCAACCTAGAGGAGCAACCGCTCACCCCAGGCCAGGTCATACTTTATACCAAAAACTTGTGTAAACAAACGAAAACACTTACTTCTATCAACACGGACTTGGTCACATGGACCGACCACGTGACCATTTTTACTTGTATACAGTTTTAATACTATAACTAGAATAAATTCAAATTGTAGCATGAAACTATATTTCTTTACCTTAAATAACTTTAAACTCGCAACAGTACATATCTATTTATACTTAAATTTTATTGTTTTATTGCCCTTTGAACTGTGTCTAACAACTATTCGCGCCATTATAAGTCATAAATCTTTGGCGAAGGTACAGCTCACGTTATGCTCTCGAATTACACAACGCACAAACCATTCGTGAGCTGCTTGTGAGCGTACCATGTGAAACATTTCTATCATATTGTTACGTCTGTGTTCGTTTGTTAATTTTCCGTAGAAATTCTTTCTGAAGAAACTTCTGCGACACAAACCCTTTCTTAAATAAAACTAGTTTATTCTTTCTCACTTCAACTTTGCAATACACTTAATTTCCACAGTCACTTCAACTTAACTCACGCTATAATTCAAAACGAACGATTCACGTCCTTTACTTACGGTCACTACCGCGCTTGACTCAATTGTCCGTCTCTGTCTGTCTGCAATTCTTATCCCGATTAATTGTCTGGCGCACGTATATACAAGAATAGAGGGCGCCTAGCACATACTGGATTATTCGTGATGTTTTTTCAATCCTTCTAGAAACTCATCATGTGTTACCAGGGTCACGTGACTACCGCTGTCGTAACAATATTATTATTTATTTTACCTAATCTAACATTAACTAACTTAAAAAGTTTCCTATTGTTTTAAATAAAAATTCAAATTGTTTTTTTTTGTTTATTGTATTTTATATCAATTTGGGTTTTGTTTTATGTTTTTTGGACTCTTACTGGACATGACTTTCAACCTCTCGAAAAATTAGATTATTATACGAGTTGTATAATACGGCAGTGACAAAATAGCGATACTATACAATATATATATATGTGTGTTTTTGGAAATTTTGATGATTGAAAATTTAGAATCTCTTATTGAAAATTTTGTTATTTGGTCCCATAGGAATTACTCTACATGAGAATGGCCAGTGCTGTTCCTGCTTCCTTAGTCTACTGAAATCTAAGAGAGAATGACTGTTCCCTTGATTCCTGCAGCACTGAATTAAGGTCAGGTAACATTCCTTGAAGAACACCATTAATTTGTTACAGACTTAAGAGTGACTATCTCCAAGTTTGACACACAAAGTTCTTCGATGTAACAAACATATATATCCAGCACAAGAGTCATCCTCTTTAACCAAGACGATAAAGCTTTCTAAGTAGTAAACCAATAAGACACAGTCACAATAAATTTCAATATCCAAGAAGATGGCAACTGCAAGGTAAATGGGTTCTTTAAGTTAAGCTAAACAGTTTAAAATAATTTTCTCTTTAAGAAAACCAGTTTGGTTGATAATTAGATTAGAAGTGTGAAGTAAGACATTTATTAACTATAAATTTAAGAATCTTGGCTACACAAGATAACAAAGAGATTGGGCAACGATCTGCTAGATGGGGAAGTTATTAAACTTTGGAATGGGAGTAATATTAACATGTTTCAACAGAGGTGGATAACAGCCTATAATCCAATTATAACTGAACAGCTTGAAGAGAAAACTGCGAGAGTGATTGCTCAGATGAGCTAATAGAGAATAAATTAAAGAATCACTTCTGGGATCTGAACTACCATGGTGAATGACAGTATCAAATTTAATTGTGGTAAAAGGGGTATCAATCCAGTATAAGGGATCAGCAGCTAGTTCCTCAAAAGATATTAGTGTTTTTATGAACAGAAGAACCACTGTTATCACAAACCTTCTGAGATAAGAACCCTGTAAAAGCCTTGCTTTCCTGTTCAGCAGAAACTAGGTAATAATTCTAATGAAACCAATCAATGTTTCGAGGTTGATAGTGAACATAGTGATAATGTCAAAAGACATTACAAACCTGTAAATTGTAGTGTTCTTCGCAAGTGTAAAGCAAAGGGACCTCCAGCTTGTTCGATTTTTACCACAGAGAAGTTTATACCTATTCAGTTTCTTTTGATTGAAGTTTTGACCTGAACAATGGTAGGCAATGCAAAGTATATCCATTAGCCTGTTGCCAGGAAAATATAGAAGATGGAAAAACAACAAATCAGCGTGTTCGGTAAGGAGTGCCCTAACGGGGCCTGGCATGGCCTTTTTCATTTGACCCGCAATTGACGAGTCGCGGGTTCGAATCCCCATCACCGAACATGCTCTTCCTTTCAGCCTTGGGGCGGTATAATGTAATGGGCAATCCCTTTATTCGTTGGTAAAAGAGTAGACCAAAAGTTGGCGGTGCGTGGTGTTGACTAACTGCCTTCCCTCTAGTCTATCACTGCTAAATTAGAGACAGCTAGCGAAGATATCCCTCCTGTAACTTTGCGCAAAATTCTAAACAAACCACACCAACCATGCCAAAGAATCGGAGGATGATGATATTGTCGTTTTTGATGTGTAATGCGTTGTATTTATACACATATTATTGAATTCTTATTTTACTCTTCCAACTGACTGACTGATAACAATAAAATACACAATATGTAATGTTATTATATTCCTCAAGTAGCTTTGCGCGAAATTCAAACCAAACCAAAATTATTATGTTCAAATTATTAAAAGTGCGATAGTTTCGTACCTGTGAAACTGCTATTATACGACGATACCCAATCTGGCAACATTGCTCTGATAAACACTAACAGTAAACATTCGTCATCATGGCGGACTCGAGACTGTTTTATGTTAGCTTGTTTTTAGCGTTTCTAGCTTTTACTGTTAGGGAGTATTTTCAGTCCACTGGAGAAGGTCCAGAAACTTATACGAAACAAATACCAGAAACAAAATTTCAACATACCTTTATGGGACCTACTTTGAAATTTTTATATTGGTAAGAGTGTTTGACTTTAACCTGGGATATGTAACTGTAGCACTAACGTTAGGCTACAGCGTACAGTATCTAACTGTAAGTGTAACGGTAACAGTGTAAGACTGAGTAACAATCTTGTGTATTACTATTGTTAACATCCAGTTCCTACACTGCTTAGGTGTTTATTGTTAATGCATTTCTGTTACTCAGGGTTTTACTTTTAACTCAAGTTTCAACGTAGATCCTAGAGCTTTCTTAAATTTTAAAACTAACGCCAGTGTTGTCTATAAGTATAACTATTACAATTTACAGTATTACTAGTGTTAGCATTACTTTCTGTTGACTCACGAAAATATAGAATTTAAATTTTCAACAAAATATGTATCAGATCTTTAATTTTAGACTATATATCTCTGAGGTTTTGGTGACCAGTGGTAAATTGGTATGTTGTACACTTTTCGGTCCTTTGAAAAAAGTTTTAGGAAATTTATTTGAAATGGATCTAACTTAGTTGCTCTGCATACCTGTACTGTAGGCTGTAAAGTGTAATTTTCCGAGTTCTACGTCAAGTAAAATGAGAATAATTTACTTTCACACAGTATCTGGCTACTTCCATTACATCTTATTCCTAATGCTAGTGTATTGCTGGAGTAACACGCCCTCTCATGCTATATGCTAGTTATGTTGCCAAACTATGAATAATTTATTATATTACAGCTTCTGTAGTATTTCTCACTAATTATAATGTGAGTGGAAAAATATTAAAAACTGAAAGTTGTACTAAATCCATGAAGCATCTTTGATATTTTTTACTTTTATATGAAGATGTTAATTCTTCAAAATCAAAATTTGTTTTGCTAAACAGCAAAGAAAAAAACTAGAAACATTTTATAGTGATCAAGTTGCAGATAAGTTTACTTGACAACATTAGATTGTGTGAGATCTAATAAATAGTAATATTATCTAATTAAATTATTGTTTTTGAGGGTAAACAACTTGATTTAAGTATTTTTTCTAATACAAGTAAGTACCTCACTTTGATATCTTCTTCATAACATCAATAAAGTGTAAAGGTAGATTTTCAATATATGATTAGAAGTTGTAGTCTATAAAATTAATTTTTAATTATATGCAGCATTTATATACAGATGAAGAAACCCCAGATATGCTTAACCCTAAAATTACTTATGGAGTGCAATTTTTATATATGTTCCTCATAACTATTAATGTACCAAATTACTTGTATATTCATAAGTTTCTTAGTTCCAAAGTCCCTAATAGCAAATGAATAAGATAAAAAGAAAAATCAATATTGCATCTAATCCCATTAATTAAGGTGAGTTTCCTATGTGTTTTATTTAGAAAATGAGTTATTTCATGCAATGTTTTATCAGTTTTTTAAACTGAGTGTTATAACAGGCAAAAAAGTAACACAATTAATCAATATAATGCAATTTGTGAATCATATCCATAATGAAATGTAAGTAATTTGTGCAGATGGATGAGCCAGAAATTTTCAAAGTTGAGCCGAGCCAGGCTACTGGGTAGGCTCTATAAGTCCATACGTTATTGATTTCTGAACTCTTTTCACTAAAGACACCCTATATTGAAAACCCCCCAAAAAATGTAATATTATTTCTTTTGTCTTGTGCAGATGTGGTTAATTATTGGGCTGCATAGGCACACAATTTCTTTTTCTTATTTGGTTTAGTATAGCATATCTATGTTCTCAAGCTTGTTGTCTGACTCATGTCTTTGCAACCATTTCTCAGCATGTGGCTGGCTTGAGCAGAAAAAATAATTGTAAGCTGAGCCAGGATCAGGCACTTAGCTCACCCACCTTTACTAATTTGAGGATTAAAAGATTTATTATAGTTTTATCTTCTTTTTTTTTATCACATTATAATTAATTTAAAATACTGTACAAATTATAATAAATACTAAATTATCCATTGTTTGGCACATGAGAGGACATATCATTCCAATACAAATTAACATTGGAGGAAACAGCCAGATGCATTAGACTCTGAGGCAGTGCTCAGAGTTGGACTGTGTTTGTCTTTACTGTAAGTGTAAGTTGGGCAACTACTATGTTATAAATGTACACAGCATGATTAACGGTAAGGATTAGATCTTGGATATTTCATTAAAAAAGATTCAAAACTTATCTTACACCTTTACAACACTAAAACACACAGGGCAATTCCTGTAAATGTACATATTTTATATAGATATACTATGTTGAATCTAGAGTATTTTTCTTAAGTGGGGGAGGGATTAGGCTTACAATTATATTCTGAGGTCTGTCATTTAGACAATCACCTCTTCCGTAACTGTTAAAATGATACAACCTTTCACAGTTATGGCACCAAACTTTAATAATTTGCATTAGTGGAAAAATTAAACATTATGCAAAGACTTACTTATAATTTTTAATTTTTTTGTATCATTTTACCATCACAGGTTTTCTTTGTATTATTGCTTTAAGTGTAATATGTATAGATCTAACTTGTTTTAAAAGCATTCACATGATGATTGAATATATTTCTAACTGTAATGATTATTATTGTTAAAAGATTATTAATTATTCAAATTGAGTTCTATGTTAAAGAGTTTTGTTGTATGCTTGTGGTGTTTTACTTATCAAAAGGTTTTGTTTTGTAACTGAAGTTTTTTGTAGTCATTTTGAAACAGTTATTTTACACATTTTGCAGTAGCAGTGCTTTATATTGTGTTTCTTGGAGCATAAGTGATGTACTTCTTTGATTACAAAATCTTCTTTTATTTCTGCTTCCTACTTTAAGAAGGAAAACAAAACAAACAAATTCCCATTTATTGCTCATGGCAATTGGTAAAAACATGCATGAAATCAAGCATATAGATCAAAATTTAATGACAGAACATACTTTCAAAGCAAAGGCCTACCCACAACATTCAGGATATAAGGGCCTCTGGGAAACAATTGGAGCATTCATGTTACAAATACCTGTTGTTGACATACTAGACATGACTTTAACTTATCTTGTAGGTGAGTAACAAAATTTTCCCTGGAAATATATTTAGTTTATTATAAAAAGTGTATGAGCAA